TTCTTTTCTTTGATTTTGTGGGATCTTCTTCAACAATATTTACTCCAGATATTGCTGAACTACCACGTGATCTCTTTTCTGCGGCTTTGTTGTGCTTTTCGATTCTCAGTCTTACCATAAGATCTTCAACAGTCATCTCCTTGAGTTTATGTTTCAAGTAGTTTTTGAAGTCCTTCCACAATGGAGGTAACTTCTCTATAATGGCAGCCACTTGAAAAGCATCATTCACAACCAATCCTACATTAAAGATTATGTGAGTATTAAGAATAAACTTAATTTTTCCAACATAGGTATTAAATAAATTTATACCTTCAGCAAGGAGATCATGGATTATAACCTGCAATTCTTGAACTTGGGTGACGACGGTCTTACTGTCTATCATCTTATAGTCCAGAAACTTTGCCACAATAAACTTCTTCATTCCGGCATCCTCTGTTTTGTACTTCTTTTCTAAAGCATCCCAGAGTTCTTTTGAGGTTTTCACATTACTGTACACATTGTACAGATCATCCTGCAGGCCACTCAGAATATAATTTTTACACAAAAAATCAGAATGTGTCCATGCTTCTGTTACCAAGAATCGTTCTTCAGGCGGAGTTTCATCCGACATAACAGGAACGTTCTCATTAATGAACCTCTGCAGACTCAATGTAGTCAGATAGAAGAACATCTTTTGCTGCCATCTCTTGAAGTCGACTCCAGAAAACTTTGCAGGTTTCTCAGCCGGTGCTAGGGCAGCATTTGAACGATTGTGTGCAACCGATGTTGTTGCAGCACTTACTGTTCCAGCATTTACTTGACTTGAATTAGTCATTTTTCTGTCACAAATGGCAGACAATTTAGTATGTGAAATACTACCAGTAAAGAACAAATCCTTACACAGACTGTTTCTGATTTAACGATAAAGTTTTTATGTTCTTTTAATCGTTAACCGAATGAATTTTAAAAATTCAAACAGAATAGAAAACCATAAAGGTTTTAATCTCCAGAAACCTCAAATACAGAAACTATATAAATTTCTTAAGATTGTTATCTCCTGTATTCAGGTTAGTCAAAAATACAGAAACAGAAAAAA